TTCCAGATGACTAACTGGTTTACATTACAAGTTAGCACATCCCTCACTGCACTTCGAAATTCCTGATTTTTTTTTCAAGAAAAAAAGTACCTCACTTTAGTCCACAGTTCCAATATTACATGCACCAAAGATGGGACAATGAGACCAACTATCGACGACAGATATCTAAACATACTGACTGGCAACGATCTGTTCAACTTGCTTTCTCTTTTGCCACTTCTATGGCCAAAGCAAGCAAACGCCCTCGCAAGAATAGTTGCATAAAAGGACGTTGCAGATCTGATGCGAGAACAGGAGAGACAGGGATGCCGACAGTCCACTCGTCACCGACTCCGGGCAACCAGGGCACGGGTCTCTTGTGGGGTTTCATATACACCTTCCCCTCAAAAAAAAAAAAACTCCAGGCAAGACCCCTATCATTCACTGCACGCCCCACAACCTCTTACATTGACACTGACCTCCTGAATCCTTTCCCATTCAAACATTATGACTAACAACAGTCGTATCTACTTTCAACTTACTTTCATCAATTATCGAAGACCCTTTATTACCTGTTGTAAGAAGACCATCTCCTGTCTCATTGAAAGAAAGAGAGAGAAAAGAAAAGAATTGAGAGAGGAGGGGCAATAATGTAGAAAGAAACAGGAAGAGAGCAAGATCATATTTTTGCTTATGACATCTTAAGGTATGGACCATGTCTAAACTTTATTTTAATTTATTGTAATAACATCGTAATATATTCATGTGGTATGATGAATTTCGTGAATCAAGATATTGTACTGTGTTTTTTGGTCCACACACAACATAGAAGCAGAATAGCACTGGAAAATGTATGGTTAGCCGATCATTATTGGCAGGCCGCGTGGGATCTCATCTACCCAGCGCAGGAAAAGTTGAACTGAGATCTCGCCACAAGTCACACATGTGATACTCTCAAAATATTGCAGAAGCTCACAGTCCAGAACTGTCTTATATGATGTCATGATTGTAGGCTGAGAACAGGTATAAGAAGTAAAGTGCTGTTGCCTTGCTTACTTGTAGGTGGCGATAAAAAATGTTGAGGTATAAAAAAGAGAGAATAGGGATGTGAGAAAGGAGGAGGATGGAAGGGAGTGAAAGATGAGCGGAAAGAGAGAGAGAGAAGGGAGGGTAGGGTTGGTGAGAGTGAGAGAGGTGGGGTTGCGGAGGAAGGCAGAGAGGGAAAGAGAGGAGAAGGAGAGAGGGGTGGGAGGGAGAGAAGAGGAGAGGGGGGGGGGGGGAATAATGCATTGTCGCGCATTTTTTATCATGAATATTATAACCTTTCCGATCGGGATTCGATCCCTCGCCGTCAATGCACGTAAATGCAAGATGGCCGCCCCAGACCACTCGTACAACGACCCCACTGAAAAGGAGTGAGCAACTAGGAGTTACTAGCACCCAGAGAGATTATCTATCTACTCATACATGAGTAAGGATAAGCGAAATTTCACACTCACTCCTGTGGGTACTCGTATTTATGGACAGAGCAGGACAAATCCCAAATCTGAGAAGCTGAGGTGCATTCTTTGAAAGATGGAATAATGCAATTCCGCATTTTTATCATGAATATTATAACCTCTTCAATCAGAATTCGATCCCTCGCAGCTGCACTGATGTGTGAAACTTCGCTATCCTTACTCATGTATGAGTAGGTAGGTATAATTTCTATGGATGCTAGTAAAGCTCCCAAACTCCTTTTTGGGTGGTCTGCAGCGGCCTTCTTGTATTCACGTGCATTGGCGGCGAGAGATCGAATCCCAATCGGAGTGGTTATAATATTCAGAGAGAGAGAGAGAGATAGGGGGGGCGAGAGGAGGGAGATCAATACAACATGATAACTCAATTTTGTTAGGAAGAAGTAAGAGATTAGGAGTTCAAAACTGCTTGATTTTTTTCCCAGGAACACCTGTCTGTAGAGAACTGACGAACTCAGGGGTCGGATTTGGCCGACTGATTGAAAACCAAGCTGGAAAAGAGTAGCTAGTTTTACATCTAGAATCAACTTGAAAAACATTGCAAGTTTCATCTCAGTCAATGAGATTGAAATGATTATAAAGATTAAGCCAATCAAAAGAACCATACTAAACTGATAGCACTCTTTTAAAAATGTATGTACACTACCATTTTGTTTTTTACACCAATAAAGTTTTCATGAAAGAAAAAAAAAGGTGGTAACTATTTATTCATTACTTTGAATCAGAAAGACATTCCGCTTCTAAAAACATGAATGTCAGAACTCTAAAATTTTGCATCTTCAAAATGTAAGTTAAGCAAATGGTTAGAGGTGAAATAAAAATAAATATGAAAACCATACATTTATGTATATATAATAATAATAATAATAATAATAATAATATAATAATAATAATAATAATAATAATAATAATAAATAATAATAATAATAAATAAATAATAAATAAATAAATAACAACCTATTATCTATCAGCATATAAAGACACGACATACTTTTACTGCTCAAGCTTACAACTTTAGCAATGACATTTTTGCTCTTTACCCTTTTATTTTTCTCTGTTGGAGATTTTAATGCTTAATATATATGGCGTGCAGTGCCAACAAAAATGCATAATATTTAAAGCACTCATATGTCATAATATCGTTAGAAAGAAAGAAGTTCCTGATAGATCACACCTAAGAGTATCATTAAATCCATTGGATCTTAGTTGATGTGATTTACATATAAAAAATGAGGACCTGGTGACAGAAATTTGATGTAATGAAAAAAAAGGCTAAGGGCCAGAGTGACTGGCATCTAGCCTTTCCCTTCAGTAGCAACTCGAGGTGGTGTTATGGCGTCTGATTTTGATGACGTCACTTGGGGTTTATTATTCATTTTTGTGTCTTCAATTTTCAAAAAGGAAGGAAAATAATGATTTTCAGGCTTATATTTTCATTGAACAATCATCAAACTAGCCTGTAGATGAGAAGAATGGGCGATTACGTTTATGCATGAATGATCTCAAGGGAATTTCTCGCAGTGGGAGTCAAGCTAAAAGCCTGTATTTTTTACTCTGCTTGAAGGAATTAAGTATACCTATTATTAATACCTCCATGAACTCAATTAATGAATGAAAGGTATGTTATTTGATGTCTATAAATAATAATAATAATATAATATAATAATAATAAAATAATAATAATAATATTAATCATAATAACAAACATTTACTTATATTGTTATTGCAGTTTTGTTGACTACTTAAGATAATATAGAGTCTGCCGGGTGAAAAGAGTCTATTGACAACTTGATAGAGCATAAAAATAACAATTAAAGACTGGGAAAGCGAAAAAACAAACAAACTGCAAAATGCTTATGCAGAAAAAGAAAAAACGTTGCGGGGGGGGCATGGAGTATTGACACTGCAAATGAGTGTTCATGTGGGCCTGGCACACATGTCACAAACCCAGGATAGTCATCACTCAAATAAGCCAATGAGTTAAACACGCTCATATATTTTGCTACAAAAAAGGTTCACTATTCCATCTTTTCCGGTGGCATTTTTGGATGTCACAAATGCTGTCTCGTGATCGGAGGCGAGACAGGCCTCTAAGCTCCGCCCATTTCTGTGACGTAATGGAAATGGTCACGGTTGACGGCTTGCTCTTTTACTGTACTGGTTATTATTCCAACAGGTACATAGTTTTGGAATATGATACCGAAGATAGCTTTTGATATCTTATGGTTGGGTAGTGCGCTGTTATAGATATCTAAAAGTACGAATATGCATGAAATATCCGAAGTAGGAGGACTGCATCTGGCAACTCGATTAATGTTAACGGTCTGCTCGATTCCTGTCACGCAAGAGGTGTTGCGTTTCCCGTAACCGCTGGAAAAGATGCCTTAAGCTTCGCCTATTTCTGTGATGTAAAGGGAATGGCTGCAGTTGATGCCTTTCTACTTTACTGTACTAATTTTTCCGACAAGTACACAGTATTTTGGATATCTAAGATGGCTTTTGATATCTTATGGTGGGTAGTGCGGTGTTACTGATATCCAATATAAGTACGAATATGCATGAAATATCCGAAGTAGGATATTTGTCTGGCAACTCGACAAATGTTTACTGCCTGCTCGATTCCTGTCATATTAGAGGTGTCGCGTTAACCGTAACTGCTGGAAAAGATGGAATATATCTTATAACTCTTCCTCATAAGCAATGAAACTGAAGGAAAATAACTAATGTGAATTTAGTCATTCAAATAACATCGAGTAATATCGCACATTTTCTTTGAAGTATTTTCAGTGAAAGATTAAAATAAATAAAATGCTTCACAGAATATTAAATGTAAAAACTCGGAAACAGAAAAGTATGACAATGTTTAATGGTTGAAACAAATAAATGTACAAGACATCAAAGGTCATATAGCATTGCGGTAAAGTATTGTGGCAAAAAGGGTTAAAAGGTGTTAACGATCAGGATAAATGTATTAGATGTCAAAGGTTTTAGTATGTTTTAAGGTAGCATCATAATGAAAAAGGTAAAGAGGGGGTGCAAATGGAGTAAATCGAAGATTAGTAAAGGACAGGGTTAAGGGCGTTGGGCAAATGGGTGAAATGGAGTGTATCTGTGGCTGAGGAAGCAATAGGTACACTGTTTAAGGAAAACTGCAAAAAGAGCTATTATGAAACAACCATGTGTAATACAAGTAGAGATGGCTGCTACAGAAGTCGAAGAATCTGGGGAATGAAATAAGGGAACTGTGAAAGGTGGTAAAGTATCAAGAAGACTGTCAGGAGATGAGGGACCTACAGCAGGGGACTGTTGCGACACGAGGGATTCATATGAGCATCCAGGCAGGAGAGGTAAGGATAATGGGGAACGAAGAGTGAATGGTGCACTTGGAGAAGGGGAGGATGGGGTGTGTTGGGGGAGGGTAGGAGGAATTTGAAGAGAATGAATATCGGCAAATACTTTGAATTTTGAGAGAATGGGAACAGAAGGGTTAGAGGGTGGATGTTT